CAAACAGTATATTTTCTAGAAGCATCCTGAGCATCCTGGGATTTTCATAGCTGAGGAAGTCTGTATCCCTAGAGACCAATCCCCTCTGGGTCCACAGGGATAATTATTATGTCATATCTTCAGGCAGTGTCCCTTCTTGTTAATAATGTGTTAATAACGTCTGTGTTAACAGAACACGGAGTACAGGTAAATGTACTGCATGTGAAAGATTGCTGTAAATTGTTCTTGCAAAATTTGCTACCAACAGGTCTTTTGGGGGGCCAGGAAGATTAGTCCAGGGGTTAAGGTGTCTGCCTTATTTATTAATGCAGCTGATGCCATTTCAATTCCTTGTACCTCTTATGATCCCGGTTAGCATTGTCAAGGGTCACTTCTGACCACAGAGCCAAGAACAGACCCTGATCATACTTGGTGTAGCCCAACTCCCATGCTTCCTAGTCAAACCAACCAACCAACCAACCAACCAACCAACCAACCAACCATTTGCGTGGCATAAAATCTAAAACCTCTCCAGGTGCAGCCATTGAAGACTCAGAGGTTAAGAATCCCGTGGAATGTCCTAAGGAGGCCAGTGTTCTCTCTTTGCAGGAGAACCCAGAGGGCTGGGTGAGGGTCAGCAGTTAAATGGTTTGCTCAGAGTCCTGCAGTTAATTAACCAACGGCAAATCCAGGGACATAATTTGCCCAGATTCCTAACAAAAGGTTTTAGCATGCTGTCCAATCCCTGCCCTGCTCTGTAATATACTTCTTTCCTCAATTCTTTGCCGGTTGTAGTTCATTTTCTTTTTTGATTTGGAGACCACACCAGATTTTGAGCTCTGAGCACTCCTGGGGATGCTCAGGACCATATGAAATGTCTGAGGATCGAACCCAGGTCTGCCTGCGTGCCAGGCAAATGCCCTAGCCATTGTACTATCACTCAGGCAGTGCCAGTTGTATTTTAATCTCTCTCTTCCAGCAAAGAGAGAAGCAGATGATTGGTGCTTTGTTGCCGGGACAAAGGAAGGGGTGTTTGATCTGAAGAAGGGTGGGGCTCAGATGGAAGGTCCTGGAAGAATCTCCTTGCCATCTTGTGTCTGTACCTCCAGGGGCAGCAAATTTAGACTGGAATCCCAGCAGAAGTGGAGGAACAGGCAGATGTGGCCTAGAGCAAGGACAGAGTTCTTTGCATGATCCTTGTTTGGAGTAGAGGAAGTCTTCGAACCATCAAAAGACTGTAGTTTGAGAAGGCCTTGAGTACTTCACAGGAAGTCCTTAAAAAGCAATTGTTATTAGAGAAAGTGCACTTTCTCTAACCAGAGCTGAGCTACTCCTTCAGGACTGGTCTTCAATACTGATCTCTTCATCTCCCTTTTTAATCTGCCTGAGCAGAACCCGTATTTAAATCCCTAGCATCCAGCAGAGTGGTTATTGGGCAATGGGACCCCAAAACGTATTTTTGGAATAATTCTCTTACCAGCAGAAAGCAACCCTGCTAAATCAAGTTCTGAATATTATATGTCTTCCCAATTTTAGACCCTTAATCCTCACCCTTTCTGCCCAGATTTCTACTAAGCTAAGTGAATTCCTTTACTTTGCCCTTCAGATGTTTTCATGATATATAGTTCTCTGCCGTCCAGTAGTTAAAAGTTAAAGGAACTGTTTATAATACTTTTTTACTCTGTGAACTAATAGCATCACGAAATGTCGGATTGTAAAATGACTTGGGAAGATGACCGAGTCCACGTCACACAACTGGGGGTAGATTTTAATAAACAATTCTGTATATGAATAATAGATGCTTTTTTGAGAGCAGAGGGAATTTTTTCTCTCTTAGGAGCCTCTTCTTCCACTTCTTAGACCTCTCATTTTTTTTCCCATTCCCTTTAAAAGGGAAAAATTGATTTGCTGTTTTCTAAGATGTCACTTTGTTCTCTTCCACGTATTTTAAGAAACTTTCCTTTACAGTTTTCTTGTCACTCCATCGTTCTGTTATATTTGACCTAGAAGCTTTTTAGAAGGATTGTCCTCTATCTGTGGATAAAGTGATGTTTATTTTTAGTGCTCAGTATGTTTCAAACTTCTTTTTAAGAAAAGCTGCAGTCGTCGCAGGATAATATTCCTAAAGAGGTAAATTATGAACATAAGAAACAGAATAGCCTCCTAAGACAAAAATATGGGGGGGGGGGGGGAGGACAAATACAACTGGAAAGCAACAGTTAGCTTTGAGTTGAGGTCTGAGTTGATTATTGATGAGATATGAGGTGGCAGAAAAGGGGGCGCTGTGGTGGGAAATGAGGGGGGACAGGTGGAAGCATTGAAAGAAAATGAGATTCGGGGCTGGAGAGATGGAACAGGAGGCCTGCTTTGCATGCAGTTCGCTCCCTAGCACTGCATACGATCCTCAGAGTACCTTCAGGGTTGACCCCTGAGCACAAAACCAAGAGTAGCCCTCAAGTTCCGTGGATTTCCCCCAAGCTCCCCTTCAGAAAAAGAAAATGAGATTCAATAAACATTTGGGGGCTGATTTAGAGGGTTCCGTGATAAAGGACGTGATCTCCAGCCTCCTGTACCTGTGTGTACAAACGGAAGGCAAAGCAGATAAGAACGAGGTAAAACATTACAGAGACAGAGCACTCTAGAAAAATCTGTGGCAATTCTACTCATTAAGGGTGAACATGACCCAGTTACTAATCTATGAAGCTGCCTTTATGGGCTCCTGAAAGCCTCAAGGACAATTATTTTCCCACATTAGAAGATCTTTCACATTTACGTTGCTAAGCTTTTTTATTTACAGCTTTTCCCAAATTTGGGGAGCTTGAGAATCAGCTTATCACTTAAAGGCTGCTCGATGTGGTGTCTGCCATCTTCGATACACATTTTTATTGGATGTATCTCTAGCCCTTGACAGATGTCTTGCAGTCGTGAAGCTTGTAAACCAAAAAAGACTCACAGCTGAAAGGAATCTCCATATAACATATGAAACACTTAAAGACTTCTCAGGAGAAAGTAAAGCGTCCAACGCTTAGCTGGACGAACAGGTCCTGGATTTCTAAAGTCATCATGACGTCAAAAAGATTTGCTTGTGCCTTTTAAATTTGGAATAATAGCTCATATAAAATCATAGTTCGTGATTTTCTTGATATGTTATATCCAGTGACCATGGATGCTAATGTGGAACATTTCCTGCTAGTTACTCATTGATTTTTTTTTTAATAAAAAGGTCATTCCTTCCCCCTCCCCCAGATTGGAAAGGAGATAAGACATCAAGAAATAACAAGTAGTGAAATGAAAGAGGAGAATGCAAAGCAACCCAAAAGAGAAAACATTAAAGTGATGGTATTTCTTCCCCCTGAGTATGCAGATGGACAAGAAAATTATAGCTGTAATTGCAGACTCCTTTACACCAAAGACAGAATGGCCTTGGGGAATTAGAGGAGAGAAAAGGTATCAAAAATGCCTGCTCCTAGGGGTCCCCACCAGCTAGCTCCAGATGCCTTTGGCCAAGGTCAATTAACCCTTTCCGTACCTTAGTTTTCTGAGAGAGAGAGAGAGAGAGAGAGAGAGAGAGAGAGAGAGAGAGAGAGAGAGAGAGAGAGAGAGAGACTTCTCTGAGCTCTGAGGAGCATGGATATAGACGGGATAACACTTCAGAGACCCCTGAAGTGGTCAGGAGAATGTGCTAGAAGGATACCAAGTAGTACTACTATTACTGAACTGTGTATCTTGTTGGAATGAGTCATTTTACTGCAGAGCCGCAGAAGCAATTCCAAGAGTGGCTGAGGACCAGGAGCAAGGAGAAGAGAGTCTTGGAGGAGGCAGGGACCTGTCAGCAGCAGTGAAAGCTGCACCGGCAAAGGTGGATCCAGGGCTTGTGAGCCTTTTGCTTTCATACAGATAAGCCTTAAACACACAGACACACATAAATAGGCTTTTTAAAACAGATAGGCTACTTACACAAATAGGCTTTTAACAACTAGAGCGGGAGGAATCCCGGCTCTGCCACTTCTATGACCTTGGGCAAGTTAGCCTCCTACTTTAAACTTTGCTTTTCCGCATCTTTAAAGCGGAGATGATAACAGTTTCCCAGGGTTGCAGGGGGGAGGGGGGGTGAAAACGTACCCTGTAGATTTCCTCCATTCTGTAAAGTCACACTTTGGGGAGGGAAGCGCGCAGAGGGCACAGCTCTGAAATCCAACCTCATCAGGGAGCCTTGCAAAACACTTAGGAAAAAAAAAAAAAGGCAAGTTTCTGATCCCCCCCATCCCCACCCACCCAAACACCCGGTGCTTTGAGGGGCCCTAGGAAGAGAACTTGTCGGGTCAAGTCTGAACCCACCCCTTGCTGCATGGATCCCGGGGAACTCGCGCAACCTTCTGATAATCCGCCTTGCCAACAACCCCCAACAGGAAACCCCTTCCGTGTGCTTTCAATCAAAACAGCTTTCTATTGGGGAGCGATAAATATTAGGGGGAGGGAGAAAAAAAATTAAAAAAAAATAAAGAAAAGAGAAAAAGCAGCCCTCGGCTCGCCAAGACTTTTTTAGAAAATTCAAAAAAAATAGCCAAAAACAAACAAACAAACAATAAACAAACAAACAAAAATCCTCCGGAGCTCCGAGGCCGCGTTGCTGTTGTTCTAAAGGGACCGGGCACCGGGGCGCGCGGGGATGGCAACGCCTTGGCCGGGCGCCGGGGACCGCGCAGCCCGGGGGCTGGAGGCGGCTTTTTTTTTTTCCCCTTTTTTCAGTTTCCTCCGCGGGGACCCCGTGGCCGGGAGGCGGGGGTGCAGGGGGGGGCGGGCGAGCGCGCGGGCGCGGGCGGGGCGGGCGCGGCAGCGGCGGCGGCAGCGGCGCGGGCAGGGCGCGCCCCGGGCGGGCCGGCGGGGCGGGCGCGGGCGCGGGCGCGGGCACGGGAGCGCGCGGGGCCGGGCCGGCGCGCGCGCGGGGCCGGGCAGGCGCGCTCGGGCCGCGCTCGCGCCGCTTCCCCGCGCTGCTCCGGCGGCGGCTCGTTCCCTCCGCCCGCGGCGCGAGCAGGCGGCGGCGGCGGCGGCGGCGGTGGCGGCGGCGGCGGCGGCTGGGGAGCAGACATGGCGGCGGATCTGAACCTGGAGTGGATCTGCTCGCTGCCCCGCTCCTGGACCTACGGCATCACCCGGGGCGGCCGCGTCTTCTTCATCAAGTAAGGGGACCGGGTGGTGGGAGGGTGGGGGGGGGGTCCCCGCGGGGCCGCGAGGGCCGCGCCCGCACTCACGCGCCGCCTCTGCCCCTTCTCTTTCCGCCCCCCGCAGCGAGGAGGCCAAGAGCACCACCTGGCTGCACCCGGTCACCGGCGAGGCCGTGGTCACCGGGCACCGGCGCCAGAGCACAGGTAAGGCGGCGCCGGCCGGGCGCGGGGTTCGTGTATGTGTGTGTGTGTGTTGGGGGGGGGGGGGACGGGACCGCGACCCCGGGACGCCCCTTGCCCCGCCGACCTGGACTGGGGTGCCCGCGCCCACCCCCGGGACCAGCATCCCGACCTGGCGCGGCCGCGGCCCCCCGCGATCCCGGGGAAGTGCGTCCCCGCCGGCACCCCCGCACCCCGGCACCCCGGGACCCTGCGAGCCCGGCCTCGATCCTCTGCGCTCGCCGGCGCCCTGCAGTTTCTTCCTCCTCCTCCTCCTCCTCCTCCTCTTCCTCCTCCTCCTCCTCGGATGTGGGACTTTGGGGGTGCCGGGGCCGAGGAGCGCTCGCCCTTCGCGCCGCCGCCGCGGGTAGCCGGCCCGGCCGGATCGGCAGCCGCGCGAGCTTGCAGGCTTGCAGGCGCCGCCAGGAGGCGGTGGGCGTGCAACCCGGCGGAGGGTGGTGGTGGTGGTGGTGGGGAGGGGGGGTTGTCCCGAGAGGAGGGTTGCTTGCACCCGAAATCCGAGAGCTGGGGGTGGGGTGGGGTGGGGTGGGGTGGGGGGTTGAGGACCGCGCGCCCGCCGCCCCGGGACTCGCCTGTTTGAATGCACCACCCGGAGCCCCCCCCGGGGCCGCCGGGGGGCCGGGCCGAGCGCGGCTGGGGGCGCGGGGCTGGCTCGCTTTTGTCATTCTTTTGTTTACCCTCGGGAAACTTGTTTGTCTTTGAAATGGAACATGTGTTCTCTCGCCACCGGCCGGCCCGGGGCCGCGCTGGGGTTGGGGGAGGGAGGGTGGGGGGCGCGCGGGGGGAGAGGCTGGAGCGCAGATGGGGTCGCGGGAGATCTCGGGCCCCCTTGGCCCGCGGAGCCTCCTCCCCTTGGTTGGCAACTCCGGGAGTCGCCGAAAGTTGCCGGCTGGCCGGCCGGGGCCGCCGCCTGCCTTTTGCACGCTGTGCCCCGAGTGCAAGGAAGTGACTAACGTCGTCTCCCAAGGTGCCGAGAGGTGGAGGAGCAGAGGCGAGGCTGGTGTGTGTGGCAAGCGCGATGAGGTTGCGCGGCGAAGGCTTTTCTGGCTAATCCACCGTCCTCTTCCTCCGCTCCCCGCATCCCTTCACTCGGACCCCCCCCCTTACCGGCCGTGTGTGTGTGTGTGTGTGTGTGTGTGTGGTTGTGCATGATTGTGCATGCCTGTTGCAACTTGCCCCCTTACCGGCCGTGTGTGTGTGTGTGTGTGTGGTTGTGCATGGTTGTGCATGCCTATTGCAACTTGCCCCCTTACTGGCCCTGTTTGTGTGTGTGTGTGTGCGCGCACATGGTTGTGCACGCCTATTGCAACTTGCCTGGCCAGCCCCGCTGGCCTCTGGGGACGGTCAGTTTTTCCCTAAAGGCAGGTTGGTCATTTCAGTGACGAAGCCCTTGACCGCCTTGGGGGAGGTGTGTGTGTGTGTGTGTGTGTGTGTGTGTGTGTGTGTGTGTGTTTTCCAGGTGTGTGGAGCAGAAATTGGTGTCCTGATCACCCGCACACGTTGGAGAAAGTCACACTACAGATTTTATGCTCTTGCGTGGTTGCATGATCATTTTTTCCCCCTTTTGGTGTTTGGGCCACACCACCCGGTGGTGCTCAGGGATCACCCCTGGCAGGGGGCGCAGGGGACCCTCTTGGGGTGCCGGGAATGGAACCTGGGCCCTCTGAACACAGCTGCTTTACCCCCCCCGCCCCCCCCCCACCACCTGGGCCAACTGCTAATTTGATTAGAAGAGGATGTGTGTTTTTTTTTTTCTCCCTGCCCCTGCTTTGGCTCTCTTCGGTTGGGCTGTGGTTTTGTACACCAGTGGCATTTCACTCCAGAGAGGGATGACGAGGAAATCAAAGCCCCGTTGTCATGTGCAGATAATAAACCGTGCAGAAACATCCATGGTGGACCTCAATCACTCCCAGGTTTAGTCCTGGGGTCGGGTTTGAGGCCCCTGTGCGGAAGCGCCTGTCAAAGGATGAGGTGTTGGGTTTCTGGCCCCTGATTAAGTTCTTAGGCAGCTCTTCGCGCCTGGGTGACACTTCCGAGATGTACTCATTGATGGAGCTCCCAGCTATAGCCTTAAATAGACACCCTGGACCTGAGAAACGCACACGGGGCCTTTTATGGAACATTTTTTTCATTGCTTCACATTTGGGGCCAGCTGTCCTTAGGTATTTTACCTAGGGTTTCAAGGCTTCCCTTGTTCTTTTTTTTTTATTGGCGATGGAAGAATTTATTGTTCTCTCCTCTCTGATCATTAGTAGAGTGTGGCATCATTTCAAAACAATCTGATTTTCATATTTCGTATCAAAAGTATCCTGTGGATATTTTTCTGGGGTATCTTGAATTTGGATTGCGGCTTCCCCCAGAGTGATATTATACCTTTAATCAGTCTTATGACCAGTCCAACACTGAATTTGAGTTAGAAACCTCCAAGTCCGGCACTGTTTTGAGTTAGAAAAGAAGAATGAAAATAAGGGGGCAGGGTCAAAAAAGAAGCCTTTGATCAAAAAAAATGAATCATTAAAATGGATCAAAACTTCATTTACTCTCCCATTGATGAAATACTAATTGTGAAATATATTTTCTTTTAGATTTGCCTACTGGCTGGGAAGAAGCGTATACTTTTGAAGGTGCAAGATACTATATAAAGTGAGTTGTTAAAATTGTGGTTCTTTTCCCCTTGGTGATTACAGTGTTGTGATCAATCTTGAATTGAATTTTTGTACATCCAGAGGCTGAGTTGGGTTTTTTTTTAAGACTTACCATGTAATGACCCTTTATATGGTATTGGATTTTAGAGGGGAAAAGTGACCCAGTTTTCTTACATTATTTGGTTATTTGCCCGGGCATTCATTGATTTGGAAACAATTATTTATGGCACAACACATTTTTGGAGTTTCTGTATATCTCTTCCTGGGGGAGAAGCACGTATTGTTTTGTCTGTAGCTGTGTGATACGTGAAAGTTTTGGTTCTTGACTAGACATGTTTAAAGGTACCAAGTAGAAGACAGAAAGGACGTTTTTGAGTTGGCTTCTTTTTCGGTTTCATTGGAAATGACTTCAGAGTTTTAACCAGAGTTGTTAATGACTAGTGAAAGTGATGTCAGACTGGATGCTAGTCTCATGAACAATGTCAGGGCTGAAAGCGGGAACACATTTATACATATTAAATCTTCCCTCTACATTTTATGTGGATGTTGTTTAGTAATTTGCTTCTCTCTTTAAAAATAGCTAGGTTTTCAAAAATAGTTTGAAATGCTTTATAGGTGTTTGTGTTTTGCGAACAGGTTTTAGGTAGAGATTACAAAGATGACCAGTTATTCCTTAAATTAATTTTATAGAACATTGTGCTAATTTCTCTTTAGAGTTGTTAAATTTGTAGTGCTGAGAGACAAGCGAAATGATTGAGGTCAACTTTATTTGGTAAGAAAATCTTTTTATCTCTGTTGGAAAGTAAGGTGCTTTTATCTTCCTTTAAAATCAGAAACTGTTTACTAAAGAGCTTGTTTTTGTGGTTGTAAAATTTGTATTTAATTTTAGAGTACTGAGGCCTGAAACAATGCATAAATGCAAGATGTGGTTGAAATGTCTGTCGTTTCTTAACAAAACAGCTGCTTAGTCAAACATATCTTTATTTCACTGGGCCAACAAGATATTTTACTAAATGACATTTTTAGGATGGTGCCACGCTTCCATTGAATTATAAATGCTTGTATGGTTTCAATTTTTTAGAGTGATATTTATATAAAATGTCACGGGATATTAATAGGTACCAGGAATGCTTGCTTTGGGATGTAGAAATAGAGGGAGCAGGCGGACAGCTGATGAGGTGAGGTTGTTTCGTGGTGTGGTCCAACTCTGGGTATTTTCAGTAACATCTTTTGTTTGGAGGTTGTGCTTGCTCTATTAGATCCCTGAAAAGTAAAGGCAGGAGCGGGGTGCAGACTCACCGAGTGCTAGTTTCATCTTGAATTAAGGTGAAACTGTGTTGCCATGGAAAAGGATGCTTCATTTGGCAGGGTGGGGGCATTTTAGTGATTTTTGAAGACAGTATTTTTGGGTGGAATTCATTTCGTTCTGTTCAGTGTCATTTCAGCTGCTGTTCTTGAAGTCAAGCTGATTTATAAGGAGTAACACTAGAATTCTCAGTAATATTTTAATTTCTGTGAATGTGTGCATTCTTCGATGAGTGTTTATTTGGCAGTACAAAATGTTATTCTGTGTGGGCTGAATATATGTATGTTTTAATTTAGAACTAACTTGTTAGATTTTTTTTTAAGTGTTCTTTGTTTTACTGGCTATTTCAATCAAATTTTCTTTTATGTTGACTTGACTGCAACGAGTTGCAGTCTCATTAGAGTATTATGCCTAAGTAAGATTCTTGGGAAAATGAGACACCATTAAGAAATATGTAATAGGGAAGATTGCAGACCTGTCCACCACTAGGACAGTGGTGGATGGGGACAGAAGGGAAACTGAGGACATTGGTAGAGGGAAGTGGACACTGGTGAAGAGGTTGGTGTTGGAACATTGTACACCTGAAATTTTATACTAAGTAACTTTGTAACTCTGTAAGTCAAGGGATCCAATTTAAAAAAGAAAAAATCTGAAGCAGCGGCTGGAGAGATAGAATGTAGGTAAGTCTCTTGCACGCACGCAGGTGACTTGAGTTTTATTTCTTTTACCTTGAGCTCCTCCCAGGAGTGAGCCTACAGCACCGCTGGGTATAACTCAAAAGCGAAAAAAAAAAAAAAAATAAACAAGAAAGAATTCTGTAATAATTCAATCTTCATCTCTGGAGACATTTTAAAATGAGTAAACTTTCAGAGTAGCCCATTATCACTATCTCGCCAGGAATTGTGGGAATTGTGTCCCAAAGTAGTTTGACTTACTATGAAAGTAATCTGTTCCAAAATTTAACATGTTATAGAAATGTATTGCTCATCAAACTTATTTTAAGTAGAATAACCTTCGACAAATACATGATTTGCTGAGTTTTAGGTCTATGGCTTTTCCTTTCTGTGTTATATCAAGAGACTTAAATTCTTTCAAGATTTGTTAAATCCCTGATAGAATATATACCATGCATTTTCTGGAATTTTTTTTTCTTGTTACGAGTAATTAGGCATGTTTGATCATTCTAATATGATAGCCCCAATAATTTTATCTCAGATTTTGCAATTTACAGAGTGTTTCCTCCTGCCTTATCAGGTCTGACTGTCATTTCAGCCACAGACCTAGTGAGAAGGACAATTTCCCTGGTCTCACCACATAGTAGAATAACAGAAACAAGCCCCTGGAACTCCCTTCCCCAAGACAGCCAGATGAGAAACAGCAGCAGGACCCTGAGCTATTTTTAGACTGCTCAGTGTGGGAGGACGAGGGTCTGGAGTGGGCGAGTGAGAAGGAGAAATGTTTGTATCTCTCACGGTTACTTCTTAGATGGGGAGAGGAGGTCCCAGTGGGGCAAGCGGCATGGATTCGCCTCCCCTGGGAAGAGGGATGATGCAGAGAAAGGCTCGTGGAAGCCGGGGCCACCCTCTGTCCCCCCATCTCATGCTCCTTCTGCAAGAACTTGAGTTTCTGCTGATGTTCCCAAGGAAGGAGGACCATTTAACAGGCAAAATTATTTCTCCCCGGCAATGGTGGTGGTGGGCTCCGAATGGCAGAGGGTGAAGACAGATGGCTCTCTTCGGATGTTATAGTGGTGGTCCACGGGTTAGGGCTGGGGTGGATGGCCCCGAGGCTGAAGAGTTGCCCACACCCGCTGCTTAGGCTGGCCGGAAGGCAGCGGCTACCTTCTCCCACTTTGCAGATTGCTCTGAGTTTTCTGCTGTCCTGGGGATTGACAGTTTTCCTGCCCCCAACTGGCCACCAGGAAGAGAGGCAAGTGGGAGTGTGGGAGACTTTCCCGTCCTGTGGACTCTCAGTAGACTCTCCCTGAACTTTGTGTAGAAAACCACAGACAAGTGTGAAGGATGCGCGTGTCTCCCTCCTGGGCTCAACTTTGTGAGTGGATCTTCCCCACTGAGCTGCCTGCAGGCAGTGGACCAGGTTGTCAAGCAGTGGCCCGGGACAGTGCTTGCGTGGAGATGGAGTGGGATGGTCACCTGACTTTCACTTTAATTGACTTTTTACTAGAAGTTTATATTAAGGTCATTGGAGATAGAATACAGACAATGCATTTTACTCTAACTCTCTTTGGCCACCAAATGTCAATATTTGAAAATCTCATTTTTTTTTTTATCTTAAGATAAAGGCCCTCCCGTTGATCGTCGATTTGCTCGAGCGGGCCCAGTAACGTCTCCATTGGAGACTTTGTTGTTACTGTGTCTGGCATATCGAATACGTCACGGGGAGCTTGCCAGGCTCTGCCGGGCGGGCGAGATACTCTCGGTAGCTTGCCGGGCTCTCCGAGAGGGGCGGAGGAATCGAACTCGGGTCGGCCATGTTGGCTGCGTGCAAGGCAGACGCCCTACCCACTGTGCTATCGCTCCAGGGCTGGAGCGATAGCACAGCGGGTAGGGCGTTCGCCTTACAAGCGGCCAACATGGCCGACCTGAGTTCGATTCCTCCGCCCCTCTCGGAGAGCCCGGCAAGCTACCGAGAGTATTGGATATGCCAGACACAGTAACAACAAAGTCTCCAATGGAGACGTTACTGGGCCCGCTCGAGCAAATCGATGATCAACGGGAGGGCCTTTACCTTACCTTTATCTTAAGATAAATGTTTAGTACTTGGAGGGAGAAAAGTCGTTTTTTTTTTTTTTTCTGTGTCTGTTAACTCGCGTCTACATGATTTCATTATATAGAATGTTTTGACGACTGGTATCTGTCTTGCTTTTTTAAAAGTTTAGGTTATTTATATTGAAGGATGCCGGAGATTTTCTGTGAATTGTGGAATTTATAAAGCGAGGCTTTAAATATGTCAGTGACTTGGCCCATAAAGCACAGAAGATAATCTTGGTTATTTGAAAGTCATGACGATTTCTGCTTACTCCTTGAAATTTACTGCTTAATGACGGTCCTGAACGGTCCTGGCAGCTTAGAATGATGTGTCATTGACCGCTCTTCTGTGCTCAAAGCTTTCAGATGGTTGACTTGAAGTGTCACGTCAGTCTTCAAACAATGCCTCCTCAAGAGTGGCAAACTTTGTTCTGATTAATTAAAGGTCCTCATCTTATATGACAGGACTGGGAATCGAAAATGTCTTTGTTCAAATGGGGTATGAAATTGGTAAGGTTATTGTATCCATTCCCTCTCCTCTTTCTTTTTCCCCTTCAGATTTAAAGTTCTGGGAGAAAAAAAATGTTAATTTTCAAATTTTTTCTTAGATATGCAAATGAGCCACTTTTGATTTTGATGGATGGTGTTGGTTTTTGTTGGTTTTTTTTTTTTCTCTCCCCTAACTTATTGAATCACTATGAGTTCCAGAGTTTTGGAGTTATCCATGATTGAGTTTCAGGCCCAATCCTGTGTGAATGGCTATTTCAGGATCTGTCCTAGCTGGATCAAAAGTCCCCTGAGAATTTCAAGTCCCACAATAGGGGGAGTTTCTAATATGAAACGCTTCATAGATGATCATGACTCAAAGTCACCTCGGCCTGCGAGTGGGCTGGGCTTGGGCGGGCTTGGGCTCTGGCAGAGCAC